TCACAATCCCTAGGTTTCATATGGTGTGTCCAATGTTCAAGGTGTCTACAGCATGAACGGTAAGCAGAAATGCAGATGGCTAAAACAAACCCCAGAATGATAAAAATGACCAGAATTACAATGCTGAATTCGTATTCGTATTGCTGATTCCATACAAAACATGCTCCATGATTCAGAGCTCCTCACTGGTGCCTGCAGACGTGGCATTGCACGAGCCACTTGGATTTCAGAGCACCCTCCTTGGTGGGAGCACACTCATTCATTTTAGCCATAATAATGTATCTGCTCTATTCAGACGTGCTCCAGTTAATAGCGGTTTAAAAACTGTAGTCTGTGATGTGCATTAGTTCTTGCTGAAAGTGCATTTCATAAAGTCACTTAATGACTTTGCAAATCACCAAGATGCTTCTCTTGCTGTTAATTATAATGTAGTTTTAGTTTGGAGATTGTGGGTTAATGATATCATTTCTCTCTTTTCTTTGACACATTTAGAGAAGGGCTCTTGATTTATTTTATCCCCAGTTTTTGTGCAAGCAATGAGGGGCTGTGAGCTTTCCTCAGGAGCAGGCAGCTGCTTGCACACTATGACAGGTTTATCCCAGGATTTCAGACACTCATTCCCAGTGGCTGTAACAGTAGGTGCCAGCAGATGTCGTGCTTCTAACAGAAAATGACATCTCTTAACTTTTGCTCCCATTTTTGGGAGTTGTAACTCCCTTCCTGTCTAACTTCCTTCCCTTCAGCTGATTGGAAAAATAATCTGCTTTTCTCTCTTGCTCCACCCTTGTTTTAAAAGTACTAATGACCCTTTTGTTTTTAATTTACTTTAGTAAAAAAAAACCTAAACCACCAAGAAAATGGGTACAGCTGAGCTGCTGAACTGTGGCTTTGCATAATTGTAGGTATGCAATATTGAAACCAAATGAATCCTTAGGAAGTGAAAGGTCAAGTAGTTTGGCAAAATGATCTCTTGCAAATTAAACTTGGTTTTAGGACATAGATCATAGTGTCTTCTTCAGCTAATGGGTGTGATAATGCAGCCCAGATTTTTCTAGGCAACTGTTAGTGCTTTCTTACAATTACCTGGAAGGGAAGATTTTAATTAAACCTGGGTGTGTTTTGTATTAGGCAACAAATCCTAATGAGTCTGCAGTGGATGAAGACCAGGATTCCACAGGCGCTGATGACTGCTGAGATCCACGTAGAGTGTTGGACGTTCCTGCACCCTCTGGATGCTGCCCATGTCACACTAGTGGGATTTTTTCCCAAACAACCTGTTTGCATAAGCTGAACTCTTCGGGGCTAGTGCATAGGAATATTTCTGACTGTTGTAAATGAACTCTGTTGCACATCAGGGCAACTAGCATGAATGTTGGTGCCAGTTCTCATATTCATTAGAGTATAACTTTTGTTTCACTGGTTTGGAAGTGGGGGAAGAGGGAGGAAAACGGGGAGGAAGAGGAAGGTGTTTGGGCTTTGTTCACTTATTCCTGAAGTGTGAAACAGTTTGATAGTCCAAGGTACTCATATCTTACATTTTTAAAGTATTGCCTATTTATGATCATACTGCAAATATGGTGTGGGTATTTGGTTTTATACCAAGCATTAAAAGGGTGTATCCTGTTGTCCTTTCTCGTGAGTTTCTGCTCTGGATAACTGCTGCTAAGAATGAAACTTGCAGTTTGGTCTGAATATCCCATTTGGGTGAGATTAGGTGCTGTTCTGCTTTTTACTTATTTTTTTTAATTAACATAATAACAGCAAAAAATTCTGGTCTTCAAAATGTATAAATTAGGAGTGAAACTGGCCTTATTTTTAGACAATCTGTTTGTCAGCTGGATTTTATGCTAAGTGACTCTGACTGGAGAATGCCTCTGGGAATGTAGTGTCCATGCATAATCTGCCACTCGTTAACTAAGGAATTTCTCAATGACTACAGAGTATGGATTTGTAAATATGTTTTGAGGGTTTTTTCCCGTTACATGATGTTTGCTGTTGTCATAGGTGACAAATCTATGTTATGTATCATGTTTTCCTGAGCCCTGGATGAATTTTTGTAACTGAATACAAAATAAAAGGAAAAAAAGGGGGGGAGGCTGGCAGAACAGCAGATGACTAGAAAATTTATATTTAAAGAAGTATCTGTTTGCTTTATCCTTTTTGGGTTTTTTTGTTGTTGTTTTTTATTTTTTTTTTTTGTCATTAATAAACAACTTGACTGCCTGTTTTGTTCTCAAGTGCTACATAGGACTGTTTTTGCCAAGACTTGAGCAATAATTTTGTGACCAGCATTGGTGTAGTCAGTTCTTTTGACAGCCAGAATTTGTAGGTTTCATGAGATAGACTGGTATATTGTTGTTCCAGCTCAAATTTTCCATTATTGACTAATTTCCAGATTTCTCTTTTTTTTTGCAAGTCCAGGTATTGGATTCTTCATGTGCTCAGCTTTCCCTGGTGCATTTTCCACAGTGGCACAAGGTAGAAAAACAAATACTGAGTCTGATCCCTACCACAGTTGCTAGGTGAAACATCTCCAGAAACAAAACCAGCTTGTGTTGTCCCTCACAGGAGTCAGAACAGCACTGAGTTGCTGGAGTGCTTCCAAAACATAAGGATTTTTGAGGATTACCACACAATTACCTGTGAGGGATAAGAAATTACCACCAAAGTTTTGTCAAGGGTTAGTATGAGAAGGTTTTAGTGGAGCTAGAATTTTCTGCAGGGTTGTTGGTGCACTGTGTGTTTCCAAGGACAGATAACCCTCATGGTTGGAGGCTGTTCTTGGGAAATTTCCTCCTAGGATCATTATGTTCTAGTACAGTGGAATCAGCTCGAGGACATGGGACTCTACACAACAAACATTGCTAACTCTTGGCAATTTCACTCATTTTTAGGGAGTGGTTCTCCCTTGGATTGTTACAGATGAGATGGAATTCTTGACTAAGAAGTCAAGATGCAGGACAGTGCTGTGCTTTCAGCCTCTGAGAGCTGCAGTGCCAGGGTTTGAGGCCTCAGCTCTGGGCATAGCTGGTGGCAGAGGGGTCTGGAGTGAGGAGGGAGCCAGGCAGGGAATTGAGGGATTGCTGCTCCTCCCCTGAGCACAAATGTGTTTGTAGCAGGCCAAAGGGTGTTTCTTTGCTTCAGGCAGCTATTTTAGCACAGGGTTGACAGCCTGGAGCTGCCAACAGCGCTGCAGCTCCTCATGATGTGCATTTGAAGTGGGGCTGAAGCCAGTGGCTCTGCTTACCCCTCCCAAGAGGTGTGAATCACAGAATCATGGAATGAATGTGAAATGAAAAACAAAGGAGTTGATGATGGTTGGCAGCACTGCTGGACTGTGGGAACGTTCACTGAGCAGCAGGAGAGAACTGAGTCGAGGTCCTGCTGCTGCAGACAGCACCTCACTGTTCTGGGTGAGCAGAGGTGTGGGACAGTGTCATTCCAGCACATCCAGCTGTCCAACACTCCCTGTAGTTACTGGAATCGTGGGAATGTCCTTCCCTTCGGCCACCATCCTGCAAGCTCAGCCTGAAGCTCTGCCACCTTCTCCTGACTCAGATCTGACAGATGCTTGGTTAGGACTTCACCTGGCCAGGTAAAACCAGCCTCATTGAATACGTCTAGACTCAGCTTGTGGTGAAACCCTGGTACATCCAACACAAACATGTACCTGGTCTGGTCCTTTTTCTGTCCCTATGCTGACAGTCTTTATAATTACTTTGTAGGATTCCTTAAACATTTTTGTGGGATTTTGCTGGCTGAATAGTTTCATTGGAGGGGACCTTTGGCCACGATTTCTTTGCTGTGACTGCATCACAGAGAGAAAAACAAGTGGTGTGCCAGCCAGTGAAATAAAAAAAACTACTGAAAGTTGCTGTGCAAGTTATTCCAGTGTTCTGGTGCTGGTTTTATTTTTTCCTGTCATTGCTTAATTTCTCAAAATTTATGCAAAGAATTTAAGGTGGAAAATTCAGATCAAGTTTGAAATAGCATTTATCTGTGATGATACAGATAAATGTGGGCTCTTACAGATAAATGGAGGAACTGTTGCCAGATTTTGGGAAAGGAAACCAGGTAAATGTTCAGCTGTGGCTGAAATTCCTCATCTAAGTGAATTAATATGAGATTTTTTTCTATCATATTAATTGAAGGGATTCTCATTTAATAAGCTGTGTCAAATAATCCACAAGCATCTTACTCTTACATCCCTTTGCTTTTATTTATAACTTAAACAGAGGCAAAATCTTTTAGACAGAAGATCGTATGTTGAGCTGACTGATAATCATCCAAGAGAATCTGATCTAAGTTCTGAGTGATTTAGGGTTTGCTTTAGGTTTAGTAAATGAATTGGTAGTTTTGGTGTGGTAATGAAAACAAATACAAGAATTCCTTTTAAATACAACTGGTAGTTTTACTGGTATTTCATATTGTTCTCAAGTCAGCACTGAACTTTTTTTTATAGGCACCATGGATCTAAGTATTAATAAAGTACTTTTGGTGTCCTCAACTACATTTCTATTGCTTTTCAACACTTTTTTCTCATTTGTGAATGTTTATATTCAGGTACCTCTGGAGGAAAGTGCCACTTTCCATTCCTGGTTGTTCCTTTGTGTATTCTAAAACCCTTCACTGTTTTCATTAATCTATTAATTCACACCATGAGGAGAACTTGAAGCCCCTTCCAATACTGAAAAGGCATCCAAGAGAGCTGGAGAGGACTGTGGACAAGGACCTGGAGTGACAGAACAGAAGGGAATAGATTTTAAGTGATGGGGGTAGGTTTAAATGGGATATTGAGAAGAAATTATTTAATCAGAGCAGGGTGAGGCCCTGATACAGGTTTCCCACAGAAGCTGTGGCTGCCCCATTCCTGAAGTGTTCAAGGCCAGGTTGGATGGTTGGAGCAACCCGGGCTAGTGGAAGGTGTCCCTGCCCATGGCAGGAAAGTAATTACCTTGAAGTTCCCTTCCAACCCAAACCACCCCAGGATTTAACCAAAGTGGCGATGGCCACAAGCATGGCCACATGACTCGTGAGCGAGGGTGGCACACGCGTTCCTGGAAGCGTTCCTGGAAGCCTTCCCGGCCGGCGGGAGCAGGGAGCGCACAGCTACCTCGGCCCGCCCGGCCTGAGAGAGCGCTTCTGCCGCTTTCGGCTCCGTCAGCGGCTGCCGGCCGCATCCCCGCCCCGCCCCGGGGGCGGCACCGCCAGGAGAGGCATCACCGGCAAAGGCAACATCGCACCCCGCTACCCGCGCACGCCAGGATTTGCCCGAGGAAGGTGAGCGGGACGAGCCCGGAGCAGCGGCGCCAACGCCGCGGGCCCGGCGAGGCCAAGCGGTGGCGGCGGGGGGAGCGCGCAGGTCCCCGCTGTGGGGGAGAGAAGGGGGCAGAAAGCGGGGAGAAAGGCGGCTTTTCCCGGGAGCTGCGAGGAGCGGGGGGCAGCGTTTGGGTAGAACTGTGTGCTTGGCCCGGGGCAGGTGTGCTCTGGCCGTGCCCTGAGTCACGGCGGCCGCACCGCAGTGCGCTGCGCTGCGCGGGCCGGGCGCGGGGCCGAGGGACGGAGCGGCCGCGCACGGTGGTGGAACGCGGCCAGGAGGCAGCGGCACCTGCCCCGCCGCGCCCGGGCACGGGACACGGTGAGCCGCTCCCCGCAGGGATGCGGCTCGGGGTCCCCTTCGCCCTGTCCCTTCCCCTTTCCCCCCGTGCTGTCATTTGCGATGACAGCAGCAGCCGGTCTTGTCCGCCTGCCTTCTCCCAGGTGGGACTGCAGAGAAATTCTGTTTCACAACCGGGCGCTGAGCCTTCCGTGCTGTAGCAGTTGCTGTTTCTTGTCATTGAGATGGGTCGGATGCTTGACTTATAAAACTAGTTTAGAAAATTCGGTTTAGGAGATGTTTTCTGCTTTCATTTCTTTTAAGCCATGTTGAGAATTGCTGCTTATATATATAGTAATTATTTTTCAAAGGTCTGAATTTCCGGATGTCTCACACAAGAACAATTACCCATTTTCCCAAAAATAGATGCATTGAATTACTACTGTTTGGTTGGCTCTGAGGATTTTTATTCATCTGCCTTACATTTATGCTGGTCATGACTTGGTGTTGCTAAAAGGCAAAGCTGTTTTTGTCTGCCAACACATGGGTGACTGAGGACTCCTGGAAGATGGAGAGATTCCCAGGGTGATTCTGTTTGCTGCCCAGAAGGGCTCCTGCTGTATCCACCAGACTTAACAGTGCTCCTGTAGATCCACGTCACTGTGGGTCCAGACTCTGGCCTTGAAAGGCTTCTTGCAAAGTTGTTTACCCCAGAAAATAAGCTCATCTTGCACATTATGGTTTTATTTTTGATGTTTTCCCCTCAGCTCAATAGTAAGTCATACAGAGAGAAGAAAAAAGAGAGCAGGTTGGGTTTTTTAGTCATTGGATGGGGTTTCCTAAAGTTATTTTGGATAGGTTTGGGTTTTTTGTCAGTAGAAAAATGAACTAGACTTAGGGTTGAGAGGCATTTAAATACTTTTTTGCTGTGAACCCATCTTTTTAAGTCCACAGTCACTGTCCTGGGAGGAAAAACTCCATCTTAACATGGTTAAGGTCTGTCATGCTAAAATCTTACAGCTGCAGGCAGAATTAAGAGCAATGACACTGTTTCACTACAGTTTTATCAGATGTAAAATTTGTTATCTGAATATTTTTAATATCTTGGAACTTGGAATGTCCCTTGGGCTTTATAGACAAACGTAAATCATGTCCTCCTAGCACAAGTATGTTCCTTCTCTTCTTGCTATGTCTGCTTGATGCCTCCTTGGAATATCCTACTCTGCAATAGCAGAGGTTTTTTCGTAGGAGCTGTGATTGTAGCTCAACGAGCAGAAATCTGTCTGTGAACTCCTGCTTTGGAGCTGCCTATGCTTTAAAAATTCCTGACCTTCCCATCTCAGGCTGCTGCCTACGGATTGCAGCAGCCATGGTGACCTGAGCCACTGCTGCAGGCACTTGGTGAGTTATTGCCTGTGTCAGTCCCTCAGTAAGAGGGACAAATTTTTGGGAGAGGAGAGGCAAAACCTCCTGTAGAGCAGCCAAACCTCTTGCAACCCCATGAGAGAGGAGAAAGGAGAGCAGTCTGGCTCCAGGGTTACTGGGGAATTGCTGAAAGAGAAAAAGCATTTGAGACCTTTCGTTTTGTTAGGTGCATTTGGAACTGTGAGAAATTGGGAGGCCTGTTGAATGGTGTAATCAGAGAGGAGAGAGGAGACCCCTCTGAGCCTGTCAGGGCTCAAATATCAGTTCTGAGAATAAAAATCCTGTTCTCAGAATAAAAATCCTGCCTTGGAAAGTGCAGTTATTTTTCTCTCTTGTGTTTCCCTGTTTTTCCTGGACAGTGCTTTCAGTTTCATACTAAAACAAGTCTTGAAGCCTCAGTTCATCAACAGGCACTTTGTTTCTAAATAGAATAAACTTGTAATACCTCTTTATGCCCTCAAATTAGGCAAGAAGCATGACCAAGATGAACTGCATCCTGCTGACCACTTGCATTGTTCTGATTGCTTTTTGTGGCTCTGGTGAGTAGAAGAGAGGGACTATGTGGTTTCATGTTATGACAGAGGCCGAGAAAATCATGGAAAAAATGCCAGAGGGAGGAAAAAGAGTGAGAAAGCCCTAGATTATTTAATACCACTGTGGGGAATGTCAGTAACCATCAAAGCAGGGCTCAGATTCTGTTCTGATTGTCTTGGGTCAGGAGAGAGAATTGGGGTCAGGATGTGGTACTGCTTAACACAACAGAAAACTGGTATTTTGCTGCTAGAAAATGGGATTCCTCCTGTGTGAATTGGAAACCAGTGTGTAGTATGGGGAGAGGGAAAGGAGATGGAATTTAAAAAATTGATAGAATAAAACTCAGCTGTATCTGCCATTGCCTGGAAAAGGCAATCTTCAACATTTAATATCTTGCTCTGCAGGCAGATAATGGTGTTTTTAAAAGTGACATAAATACATGCTTCAAGCTGTGCCTATCAAAATTTCCAGCCTCAATTGGTACACTGACATAAGCTTGTCAATTTTAACTAAAGTCTTGAGTTTAACAATTTTAGCTGAAGTCTTGAGCTTAATAACCAGGCATATGTTTCGTGACAATTAGATGCAGTAAGTGATTATTCTTTTTTTTTTCTTTTCCTTTTTAATGATGCTGCTGCTGTCTCAGTAGTTTATTACTCAGTGAAGATAAACCCTTGTTGTCTTAGGTTATACCTTAAGATGTTACCACTGTGACAACAGCCCTACCGTGTGCAGGACCAACAGCACCTGCTTAACAACTGAAGACACTTGCTTGCAGTTGAAATTTGGTATGTACAGTGTCCCACAAACCTAAAATAAACCCACTTGGATCAGCTTTCATTACCTCTAATCTGGCCCTAGCATGCATTTCTCAGCCTCACTCAAAAGGAGCTTGCAAATACTCTTGAAGGTCATACTTATATCCAAGCCATAATGTGTGATTTAGATCGGTGAGTTGTAGCTGTACAAGCATGTACATAGATAGCTGTATATACAGATTTAGAAAATAAGCAAACAAATAAACAAAAACACACACAAGGGAGCTTGAAAAAAAATAAGACATTGAATTTAAAATACAATTTCTTATTCTTTGTAAACAGATAAAGGATGCCTAGCCCACAAAATAAAGCTGCAGATAAATGGCTCAGTCATTTATGAATTGACACTATTAAAATAAATTCTCTTTTCCTGAGGGTGAAGTGATTCATATCTCAGGAAAGATATCTTTAACTAGATCAGGTTGCTCAGTTTGGCCTTGAATGTTTCCAAGGATGGGACATCCATCACCCCTCTGGACAATCTGTGCCAGTGTTTTACCACCCTTATCTACTTTTCTGGCTCTGTCTTCTGCACATTTTTCAGAGAGCCTTGTCAAGTGCTGGCCTAGGCTGCTCAGGGCAGTGCTAGAGTCCCCATCCCTGGAGGGATTTAAAAGCCATGTGGATGTGGCACCTGGGGACATAGGCTAGTGGAGAGCTTTGCAGTGCTGGGTCAAAGATTTGACTTGATGATGTCAGAGGTTTTGTTTAGCCTAAATGATTTTGTGAGTGCAGGCTGAGCTGGCTGGTGATGCCAGGTACTACTCAAGCTCCACCCTGTATTTCCCAGTGGGTGAATTGGATACACACCGCTAAATTCCCAGTGGAAGCAAATTTGGAAACTTCTAAATACCTGAATTTAAAAAAGCAAGTACATGGCTGTGGCAAAAACAAAACTATAAGGCTGAGGCTGGGGACACAAATGCCCCATGAACTACGGGACACAAGACTTTACAAAAAGTGTCCCTCCTGGGGAGGGTGAGAGGCCAAGCCCAGTGATCTGTCCTTGAAATTTCATGTCAAATTGTCATTCCCAGTTTGCTATGAAATTTGGGGGTACATTTTATATCTTATTAGCCACTGCTGTGCAAAGCACTGTGGGTGGGACTGTGGTCAGATATTCCACTCTTTGTACAGAATATTTCTTACTAGGAGGTTTGTGCAACACATTTCTGAGTGTGGGGTCAAAGAACCAGACCATGCAGCTTCTGCCTCCCTCCACTGCCCCTGATGCCATGGCAACACAGACCGTAAGGCCTCCATCCAATTTCTGTGTTTATACCATGGGCCCTGTCACAGACTAAGCTTTGCCTTCTCCTCACTCTTTTATTCTCTAACAGTGGCAGTCTAAGCATTGCTTCTCTCTCCCTACCAAAAATGGTGTTACTGTCAGTACTCTCTTAATCTGTTTAATTTTTTTTTGTTCCATAGGTAAATTGAGAACTTTCTCCTGCTGGAAGGCATCCCAGTGCAGTGTGAATGAAATTGCAGATTCCTTCCTGTTGGATAATTTTGAATTCTTTTGCTGCCAACACGATCTGTGCAATGAGAGTGTGATTACTGGGGTTAACAAAGCAGCCTTCAGTATTGCTTCTGTAATGGCCATGTTATGGATGCTCCTGTAATAATCCTAGTTTGTAAGCTGTCCTTTCAAGATGAAATTACACAAAACCATTAACTCTTTTCTATATTGCATATTTTCAGCTCCTATCCGTAGCAGAAACATTCCCATGTAATTTTAAGTTGTTTCCCAAGGTTCTGTCTGTTAAATCACTGTCTCCATTAATGGGAAGGAGTTGTGTGTTGTTACCATCTGTTTTGATCTGTTCCCCTGTTCATGGGGAAGATCAGCTCTTGTGAAGTGGTGTTATCTTGTGGAGAACCTGGGCAAACTCCAGTGGGTGATGTGAAGGAGAAGGAACACTGCAGCTTTTCTGCTGGAAATTGTAATTTTTTTCCTGTCCCATAAACTGTCATTATTTTTGGTTGGCGTTTCTGTGGGTTTTGATTTGTTTTGCTTTGGATCCTCCTTGTCACAAGCCAAGTGGTAGATTTGCCCTCAACACAAGATGTGTTGGATCATAAGTGTACCTTGCTGCAGTCTTGGTGATGAATATGGAAATATTCAGTTTCAAGTCATGTAAACACTTTGTTCCCATCACTGTATGTTTGGTTTTTTTCTACAAGCCAATGATATAACCTTGTCAAGTGCTGTTATTTTGGGTGAAAGCATCTACATTTCTTAAACCAAAACCAAAATACTGTTACAAGTGAGAAACACTTCTCTCTTTTTTTTTTTTTTTTTTTAAATATATATATTTCTGTGAGCATGTAGACAACATGTGATTAACTTCCTTTTTTGATATTCCTCATACATTATCCAGGCTTAGGATTTTAAGTGAGCATGTGCTTTGCACTGAGTATTTATTGGTATACAGAAAATCAATTATAATATGCTAAGGAGTTGAAATGGCACATGTAGGTTACTTCCCCACTAGCTTTTGGATTTTGTTTAAAACAGTGACATGTAAACTTAACCCTTCAAGCTTCCACCTAAGAGTATTAAAATCTTGTAGAACTTTCTTTCCATAAATACCAATGCACAGTATAGGTGTGTATTTATATAGCATGAATAAAACCTGCTCCATCTGTAGGTGTGAGGGGTCATATACTGAAATACCTGCTGTGGTGGAGACATAGCTTGGGACATCTCTGGTACCTGGGGACCCTCTCAGTCAGGTGGGATGCCAGATCCTCCTTTTTCTTCTTCTGGAGCTGAAGATATCCCTGCCAGAGTTGTGTCCATTGCCAATGAGATACCCTCTTCTTGAGGACTCTTGCTTGTGGTCTTGACACTTGTGACACCAGGTCACCAGTCACAAGGGTGAACAAGGGTGTTGTTCCAAATCCCCAATGTATTCCACAATGTACCTTTTGGTTGAGCTTATTGTAGCTATGAAAGTGTCCTGGGATCTCTCCCATCACTTGAAATACGGAAGTCGTCCTGTCTTTGATTAATAAAAATGTCAAAAAAGAAGAATGTGGAATGTGTGGTGATTTATTGGTATTTACAGTTGGATAGAACTCCAGTGGTTTCCATGGGAGGTGCATCCATGCTTCCCATCCAGAGACCCAGCAAGTTCCAAGTAGACTTCTCTCCTTCCTTATTTCTATTTCCCACTTGATTAAAAACAGACACTGGAAGACAGCAATTTCTGCACAATGCCTTTTTTGCTGCAGCACCATTTGTCAAACTCAGGCTCATTTCAGGTGAAAAAGTATTAAAGCACTGACTCAATATAAATTGGGGGAAAGTTTGTTGCAGAGAGGTATCTTTTGTTGGAAAAGGTGATAGATTCCTGAAGTTTAAGTCATCCTGATGGCAGCAGTTTTTCTCCATTATATTACCAATGTCTTCTTTGATGGTGGTACTTTTAAGCTTGTTTCATTGCTGTATGGCCTGCATATATAAAATATTCCTCTTTTTTGATAAGTGCAAAAAGAAGCTCTGTATTTTGTGTGTCTAATCTTCAAGCGATGATTTTTGCTATTTCTTTTTTCATACCCTTGAACACTTTGTCTAAATTATCATACTTTTTTTTTTGTTTCTCTTCTAGAAGGAGTCTAAGCAATGAGTCCTTATGTTTTAAATGTGTTTTTTTCTTTTTGTAAAGATCAACCAGAACATGATTTAATTCCTGTAAGGTTTGCATTTTCTGAGTCTGGCTGTGGTGACTACTGAGCCCTCTCCTGTAGTTTGAACAGCGACTGCTCCTTGAACTTCAGCATTTCTCCCCCTGCAGCTGCTGCGTTATGCCCAGATTTGCTGGCCAATCCACAAAGAGGACCATTAAAACCAAGAGAGACATTAAAACTTTAATTAAAATATTAAAATATTAAAATTTGTCCAGGTCTGAGTCCACCAGGACTCCCAAGTCCTCTGCAAAGCTGTTTTCCCCCGGGTCAGTCCCCAGCCTGTGCTGGTGCCTGGGGTGATTCCCAGCCTTTGGGTGAGCATCACAAAGTGGTGCCTGAAACCCAGGCACTCCTAACTTTCTGCCTCCTTCAGTGGGAATATCAGCCAGAGATTTTGTGTGGTTCAGCTGTGCCCTGTAAGACCCAGGAGAATGCAAGATAAAGGCAGGGTTAGTGGCTGTGCCACCGTGCAGAGGTGTTTTGTTGCCCCCTGCAGTGAATGCTGGGTAACTTGTCACTGTTGCCGGGGTTGTTTTGGTTTCATTTTGTAGTTATCTGAGTGTTTTGCTTTGTTCTGAATTAGTGGCATGATTAAAACCTGATCCTTTGTGCTTTTTATGCCACTACACATAATTTATGTACTATTGGTCATCTGATCATCCAAGAATATTCTTCCCTACATCTACTTCTCAGTTGCTCTCGTAACCAGCAGTCTCTTTTGGGGGAGGACCACACAAGTTATATAGGAACAAGAAAGAGAAGGTAACAAATAGAAGCTTCAGCAACAGCAGGAATTCATTCTTGTGATCTGTTTTTACCATGAATTCCTCCTCCAAGTCCTCATGGTGGTGACCAGGTGTCCTTTGACTTGAACTTGGGCATGGAGAGAGCTTGGAAGCCTCCTGGTACTGGTAGGACTCTGGGGCTGGTACATCTGGTTGAGAAGAGTTTAGCGTTATCCCATGTGAAATCCTTCTCTAGTTTTACCATCCCTCATCAAAGATGAGGTGGGATGTCTCCATGTTATTTCAGGATGCAGGAAATTGTGAAAAGAAGCAGATGCAAGTGGAAAAGCAGACAGGCAGGGCAAGCAATTTCCTCCCACTGCTTTTTGGTGTGACAGGAATGAGGAGGCTGACCAGTGAACAGCTTTATTTTGTAAAAAGGAGCTGCTAAGATAACAGAATAGTCCCAGCAGAGAGCTGCACATTAAGTAACTCGCTGTTGCACTAAGAGGGGCATCTGGATACTGCTATTATTAATATTAAATGCATTTAACAACAGTGGTATTCCTCCAGGTGGAAGTGAGTTTATTGTGTCTGAATCTCTGTGTCTCCAAGGGCTTGGATCTCGCTGGTAAATAGTCAGTCCTAAGCTGGCATCACCGCGGCAGAGTTTGGCTGTTCCTAAACGTCCAAGAAAGCATTGTCTATGAGATCCCCATGTTTATTGAGGCAGAAACAAGCACACTGCACTTTCTGACTCCACACAAGGTGAATATTGCACTAACAGCACAGTGCTAACACCATTCTGCATTTTAGAGAGGGAGAAGGGAGCTGCGAAATCCCCAAAAGGAGTGCATTGTCATCTCCACTCCCATCTTTCGAAGAATAATTTATACATTGGGGTATAATGAAGACCTGCAGATGATAGTATTTTTATGGGTATGACAATTTACAAGCATAGGGAAAACTGTCCTGGAACCTAGGAAAGAGCAAATTAAAAATATTTTTGGTTTCTTCCTAAGTGGAATGAATTTTAAAAAACAGGATTTGGAGCAAAGTTCCTCTCCTGAATAACAAAATCTCTGCATGTGATCCAGTGTTGGTTCTATTTAAGGGATAAGCAGTCTTGAATTGATTGAGATGCTTCTGTACCCATATCCCAGCACCTTGCGAGTCCAGCTGAGTTATTCATGGCACACCAGCACTGTTCAGGAATGACAGCTTCACCATTCTTCACTGCACAGGGTTGGTTTGATGCTTGATACAATTCAAACCAGTCCCTTACACCATTTTGGTAGATAGGGATGAAAGTGAAGCAACTGCACTCCTGTTTTCTCCTCTCAGAGGTATTTGGAGATGCTGCTGTGAGGCAAGTTTGGAGAAAAGCTATGGAGACACTGCAGGATGTGTGGGATCACAAAGGTTACAGGTTGAGAGGATGGATGTTGTAGTCAGATTCAGTATGGAATTTGTTTTGGAGACAGCTGCAAACCACAGAAACCTTATTCTCCAGAGGAGAATATCCTTATTCTCCAAGGAGCGCTCTGTGCCACATGCAAGCACACAGTTCTGGAGTTCATTCCATGCTCAGAGTCCTATTTCCAGAGATGCTAAAGTCTTCCAGGGAGCTTCAGGCATCAATCATCATCAGCTGTCTTGCTCCTAAGTGGTCAGGGCTTGGGTCCTGAACAGTGTCATTGTTTAGCTCGCATCTGAAATGAATGACGGTAAGTGTTGCACCAGGAAAAGATTAAAGTGATTAAAATGACAGCCACATCTTGAAATGGAATGACTTTTACAGTCTGATGGGTTTCTTCTTTCCTGCTCCCAGTCATGGTAATGCTGTAGGATCCTGTGAATTGAGGTTTACTCTGTTCTGTGGGATGAAGTGATTCTTGTCTGGGGAACAGTGGGGCTGTAGCCTAGAATCCAGTGCCAATTATCTCTAGAAAGCTGCAGTTTGCACACAGATAAAAAGACTATCTAAAATATTACAAAATGGAAAATAAAAATGCTGCTGCTTTCAGATACAAGGCACAGCTTCCTTTTGTACCTGCTTGTTTTACCCTATAGCAAGCTGGAGGTGGTTTTCTTTTTTTCTGCTTAGAAAAAGGATTTTCAGTCCACTCCTCTACCTGAAAGTGAGATCAATACAACTACTGTTATGAAAATTCCCTTTCTTTACAATACAGCAGCCAGTTTTTCTAGTATGAAAGTGTTTTTAAACTTTATTTATAAATACCTCTCAATTACATTATACACTGCAATGTTCTGAGGTGGTGGAATTTTATTGGAGACTTTAGCATTGCTCATGCGTAAATATAACAAACCAAAGGAGAGTCTAATCTGGAATGAAGGCCTTTGTCTTGGGGTAATGGCTTTAAATTGAAGGAAGGTGAGTTTAGAGTAGTTATTAGGAAGAAATTCTCTTCTGTTGGGGTGGTGGTGAGGCGCTGCTCACCTCACAGGTGAGCAGTTAATAAATACGTGGTAGTGTGTAGGGACAAGTATGTCTGGCTTGCAGGTCCCTGCTTCCTCACAGAAAAACGGGGGAAAAGTTTGG